CCTCATTTTCTGGATCCCAAGCATTTACATCTGGTAGATTTTGAACTACATTCCATAAACCTTCTTTACGCAGAAGTAGACTGCACTTCATAGACCAGGAAACATAGTTTGTTCCATCCAACCAGGTTTTCAGTTATAGACTTGTTGAAGTGACTTGTGCCATCTTTACCAGGATATTAACCCACAATTAAACAGTAAACAGCTGTCTGTATACAGTACTGTGTATTCACACTAACTCTCAGTTATCTGAGCCTGGTATGGCCTGGGCCCATAACCAGAGTTGAGGTAATTCCCCGTTAGGAGAATGAGCGCATAAAGGGAGATGTATTTGAGAGAAATGTTTGAATAATACACACACAGCACAGAGATACACTGTACAGTAAATGTAGGTTTTAAATTGCTATTTGTGTTAACAAATTAGCGAGATTTAACGCTGAGCTGACTGAAAGGCACTGGCAAGCTGCTAAGCGTGTGTTAAGAAAACTGAAACAAACAATGCATTATGCATTGTATTTGGAGCCTAAAGATGAACTAAGTCTAACTGCATATGCCAATGCAAGTTTTGCTACAGACATTAATATACGAAAATCTACATCAGGTACTGTAATATTATTGGGAAAGGTGTTGATTGGATGGAGGTCTATTCGACAGAAACATCTAAGTTTGTCAACAATGGTGGCTGAATTCTCATGTTTGTCTTTATTATGTACAGATTTAATTTGTTATAAGCAACTATTAATTGACATGGGAACTGATGTAACAAATTCTATTGTTGTTTATGAAGATAACCAATCAGCAATACAAATGGCTTCAAATATTGCTGTTAAGTTAAGATCAAAACACACAGATTTAAGATATTTAAATGTGAGAGAATGTGTGCAAAGTAAGATGATTAAGCTGGAATACTGTATGTCAGAAAATAACATCTCAGATCATTTTACAAAAGCCCAAGACTCTGTAAAGCATAAGGCTTGCTGTGAGGATTATGGATTTAGAACATAAGGTTGTATATATTGTCCTACCCAAAGGGGAGAATGTTAGAAATGTAAGGGTTGGAAAATATATAAACCAGGATAGACATTTTAATACTGTCTCTTTAAGAGAATGCTAAAACAGTAAACGGCCATAAGATGGAGTCATAAACCTGGGTTGTTTAGTCCTGTTCTGTTGTTTCTCGAGTGTTGCTGTTCCTATTGACTGTTATTGATCATCGTTATTCTTGGATTTGATGTAAGTCTGTTACTGAACTGTTTTTGATACTGGATTTTGTTATTGGATTATCCCTGGACTGAAAACTGACTGCTTTAACTGTGAATGACTTGGACTGCTTGTTTGGACTTTGCTTAAACGTTTATTGGAAGTAAAAACCTACATTTTACTATACAGTGTATCTGTGTGCTAGTTGTGTGTTATTCTTCACCACTCTCACTATGTCTCCCTGTGTGTGCTCATTCTCCTAACGGGGAATTACTTCAACACTCACCATGTTGTATCATCTGCAAATTTAATAATAGTATTTGTGGTATGAGTGGGAATGCAGTCATTAACATAAAGAGTATAGAGTAAGGGACTCAACACGCAAGCAGTATAATAGTGTTAAGAATAAAGGCTGAAGAGAGATGATTATCTAATCTGACCCTCTGAGAGCGGCCAGACTTTGCTTTTGCTTATTTCATTACTATGTTGAATACTGTAGTTGATGAGCTACAAGGGTCATCAAAAGTGGTTAATACTTCCATCTAAATTAAAAAAAGAACTACTTAAAATCCTTTGCTAAAACTGGGATTATTGTTTTCTGAGGGAACACTTAAAAAAGCCTCCACCCCTCCAGCAGTTCTTTAACTATAAAACTCTACTTGTGTGCTGCCAACTATAAAATAATACAGATCTATAATCACTTTTCATTTTGAACTCTTAAAATAAATCCAGTTATTACTGCAAGTGCTTTAGAAGTGAACATTTCAATGCCAAATTAAATGCAAGTTTAAAGGGAACTCCCTGTACTAAATCTATATTGGCATAAAGAATAAATGTCTACTGCTAAAAGACTTAAAGATGACATACTGCATATGCATTGTTACAAAATGTGCAATGATCATAATATGCTAATGTTAAGGAATACTTGGAATATATTTCCACATTGTCAAGTTCCAACCCCTTTTAAATTGACATTAATACATAATTTTGCTCTTTAGAGACTTCTGAAGAGATACCAGAAAAATGTAGTCAACAGAAAAGACTTGAGCTACATTCTCAAAACTGATGAAGAACTAGTTTTGACTGAGCAGCTTTAAATTTCTGTTGCCAAGTATTTTGATGAATCACTAGCAATCTATACCACTATAAAGGTCCCTAATCTCTTTATAAAAGTGTTTCATTTTTTCTACATTTCTATGCCCATAAAATGGCTGAAATTGAGTCTTCTAGTAATTAAAATGTGGACTACTTTTGAATACTTAGATCTTGATCCATATTAGAGGACCAAGGTGAGTTGAGGTATGTTGTGCTGAGAGAAAGTGATTGGCCCAAAGTCACCCAACCGGCTATCATGCCTAAAGTGGGACTAGAACTTAGTCTCCTAATTTATAGCCTGATGCCTTTAACCATTAGACCAAATTACTCACACCAGTAAGATAAACAGTTATATATGTTTATAATTGTTACTGAGCAACTGCTGAATAAACTGAAGTAACTATTATATTATTACTTCAGTTTATTCAGCAATTGTTCAGTAACAATTTACCTATTATAATTCTGATTTTCATACCTAGTTGTTCCTACTCAAGAATTATTACAGTAATACAGTCTGTAAACGAACATGAATGTCTGCTCACCTGTTATTAAGTTGATTAGAAAATATAAAAAGATAGGTTACCTTGTTGTAGAGAAGTTGAATTTTGAGAAGCTATTGGGATTCTGTTTATCGGCTGGCAATTTTTTTTATTTCTTTGCAGGTCTGATATATTTTACAGAGATCCTGTCTAACCACAGAAAACCAATATATCGTTTATCCTTTCAGTATCACATTTAGTATCTTCCAGTTGGACTTTTTTTGCAGTCTTCATAGATATTATAGTACTAAAACTTGCTCAACTTTTCATTTGTAGACATAAAGCTTTGTCCCAAAGATGTTTTTTCAAAAGGCAACTGGACTGTTTTTTCTTGAAGACATTTTGTTTCTCATCCAAGAAGCTTCTTCAGTTGTGACTGAAGTCAAAATTGGAGAAGTTTCTTAGATGAGAAGCAAAACATCTTCAAGGAAAAACGAAGAAAGTTCAGTTGCCTTTTGAAAAAGTACCTTTCTAATGTGTGTAAAAATATCTGAATACTTGTTTATGCAGTATACTGAGAGAAAGATACATTTGGAATAAAATTAAAATTATAATGTTTCTGTCAAATTTCTCTCTTTCTGAATTGCTACTACCAGGTCTTCTTTCCTCCTAATTGTTTTCAGCTAGAAAACTATTGCAATGTGTAAATAACATTTAAGGTGTGTCAGAAAGATTGCACTAGAAGATCAATGTATACCAAACAATCACAATCAATTAATCTTGATTCATAGTAGACTGAACAAATTGACTTATCTGGGTAATATCTATCCATTTTCACCTGCTTATAGTCTTAGAATGGATCAGTTTCAGGCATTAAAAATAAGTCCAACTTGGGAATCTTACATTTTGACAATAATTGATAAATGGAAGCTGAAAAAAGTTTCCAGAATTTTGAATACAAAATGCACCACAAAGTCATTTGTCAAATGTTACCGTATGTAACTTGCCTTTAAAAAATTCCAAATAGAAAAATGCACACAGAAAATACTTTCATCAACCTTATACCAAGTAGTGCATCTGTCTGAGAATCTAAATTATTTTGTTCTTTTTCTATGGTTTTTCCCATAATATATCCTATGGGGTAGATTTGAGATAGGTAATTAGTGCTTGGCCTATTTCCTGCTTTCTTTCAGCATTTGTCATCAGCATTCCATGATAAATTGTACATTTATGACAGCACAGTTTTTCACTTTAAAAATGTGCACAAACACAAGAATCCTTCAGCTGGCTTCACTTCTATATCTGTATAAATATGTTATGAGAGCTGGTATAGTATAACCATTAAAGTGCTGGTTTAGAAGTTGAAAGAGCCAAATTATAGTTGTTCCTTGGGCTTGGGAACCACCATGGTGACTTTGGGGGAGTCCCTTTCAGCCCTAGACAATTATCTACCACCCCCTGCTAAAGTAGCAGGGTAGATTATGACCCACAGCTTTCAATAAAGAGCCCTGAAGTAGATTCATTTGTTATTTTTGTAAAAACATACATTTCTGCTCAGAAAAGAATGATAATTCTTGAACCCTCTTTTGGCATCATGGTATTTCCGCTTGTGCTATTTGAAAACTTTTTTTAAAAGTATCCCTGGATGGCTAAAGAGATCTGTTGCCTTCTCCTACACCAGATTAATAGAATAGCATGCTTTAGCTCTTTGCTACCATCTAATAGTCTCATGATTATTTGTGGTCCGTATATAGAATGCCTAAACCTTATTCAATTTTACTTTAGGTTTTTCTTTGGGTGAGGGTGTCTTGTTTGTTTTTGGTTAGACTGGACATTTGGTTTCTTTTGCTTATTGCAACAGTTCTTGCTATTTGCATTTTTTATCATTAAACATAGTTTATAAGTATTTTATATACATAATTATGACTGCATTAAAATGTATCAGAACCAGTGTAGCATAGTAATTAAGGAACCTGATTAGAAAGTGGCAGAATGTGAGTTTTGGTCCCACCACAAAGCCAGCTGGGTGTCCTTGAGCCAATCATTCTATCTCAGCCCAAAGAAGTCAGCAATGGCAAACCAAAATCTTGCTAAGAAACCTTCAAGGATTTGTCAAGCAGCCACCAGGAGTAAAAAACTGACTTGAGGAGACAATAATTAAATGCAACAGCACATTTAATCATGGGACCTTTGGATAATACTCCTCCTTGCTGTTCCATTTTTTTCTAGTGAAGTAAACAAAAGGGAATGCGAGTTTTTGACAGACTTTTGTACTAAACTTGAAATGGACAAAACTGCATGTCAAACAGGTAAGGGTGCTATAAAATATGTATAATGAAAAATGTGGTAAAAATTGGTGACTCAAGTAGTAGAGTTTTCAGTGGAGTTTTCCAATCAGAAATTTCAAAAGTTGTGGGGAATCTACATTCAAACAGATGGAACCATTCTATTTGATGTGGCCATGAGGACCCAGATTGTTGGGGGCAATATGCTGGTAAATGGTATATAAGTCTAAGTGCTATTGCTATTTGCTAATAGAGGAAGTTGATATTTAAAAAATTGGGGTGGGGCTGAATGATTGAATTAAAATTTGAAAATCTGCCTTATCATTCTCTGTGTAGGAACAGCTCTAGAAATAGCTGGAATATCTAACTCTCCAAAAGATGTTAGAAAAACTGAGAAGGAGTAGTCATTAGTCTATTGAGGAACGCCTTCATTTTTCTCACAGACTGAGCGGAATATTTTTCAGTTAAATAATAAAAGACAATACCTAGAATTGACTGGCCCCCTCTAAAGCCAACCTATTCTGCAACAAAATATGTTTAGTGGGCAAGGTCAAGCCCTTTTCTTTTATCTTTATAAAAATGGGTAAGAACAATACAGTTCCAGTCTAACAGAAAACATACTGAACTGTTAATGGTCGTAAATAAAGCAGTCACCACTGGAAGCCACCAATTCTTGTTCTTTCTTCTGGGGAGATAAATCCACTGCTAAGGACTTCTCCAGGTCTTAACTGTATACCGTAATAAGGTCCTTAAGCTCTAATGTAGGTCCAAAAAGCAGGAAGATCATTTTGAGAGGAAGTCATAACTAGATTATTTAATTATTCCATTGTGAAGAGACTCTGGAAATGATTATCACACAATTTTGCAGGTATTTGGCAGGTTAACCCAAAACCTCTATCATTAAGAACTGTTAACTAGATGCCATATTCAAGATGGGCTCTTAAGCTTAGCAGCTGTGATTAAACTTCCCCATTTCTCTTTTATAGTTTGCCTTTTCTTTGATTTTAGATTTTTTTTATTCTAGAAACAGTTGAAATACACTGACGGTGCCGTTACACTGGAAAGCATTTGCTACCAGGAGGAGAACCTTTTTTTAGTTTAATAAACTCAATATCAAACCAAGATTTAGATCTCCTATGAGGAAAGTTGGGACAAACTGAGAACAATCTTGCTATGGAAGAACAAGAATAAACTATTTATAGTGTACATATTCCTGCTTGCCTGCTTCTGTCTTAAGCTTTAATAAATTATTTAAGATGTTGTTTTTGTGGATGTCTAGTAATTTTTCATCCAGAAATATGCCACTTCCTTTGATGAAGAGTCACATTTCTCAGGGCCAATAGTTCAGGACCAAAAAATACTTTGGGGACTCACTGTGGGGCCAGTATAGTTGGAACTTCAAGTTGTGTGCCTCGGCTTCACTTAAAGCTTGGTATGTGGGTTACAAATAAGGCAATACAGAGAACAGCTATTAGAAATATATTCCTCACTTGATCAGTCCACATTGTTTCTCTGAATCAGTGAGCTCCATTAAAAAATATTAAGTCGTGCAAAAGCTCTGACTCTTATTTATCTATTTTGTCAAAAACTACGGATGGCTAAAAGTCATGTGTAAATGTTCCCAAAAGAGAAAACACAGATAGAAATTAATAAGAAAAATCTAATCAGTAGTGCAAAACGTAAATCATATGTGCATTGCATACTATAACCGATAGAATTTTTTAAAAGATAAAACAATGTATGGAAATTATAGGGTATACAGGATTTTGGATTATTGGATATTAATGGACATACTGAAAATACTGAAGGGGAAAAAAAAGATGGTAATAGGAATAAGTTGGTAATTGGGATTAGGCTATTCCAGAAAAAGTAGCCAAGGGTGTCACTTCCTACTCCCATTGGACTCAGCATTGCTTCTGAGTGGACGTGCACAGGGTTGTATTATGAAAATCACCTTGCATGCTGAAGATTTACCACTTCAGATAATTAAATTAGAATCTTTTGCTTAAAGCTTGACTTGGCACAAAGGCAAGCTTTTAGGACTCCACCCAGATTTCCATGAATACCACTAATAAACTATAGTACACACCCGGCATATGGCAGAGAATATTATTACATGGCAGAGAATATTATTCACCTGGTACTTGCTACTTCAACTCCCAAGAAAAGAAAGATGTGAAGGAGATGAGCGGAGCTGCTTCTTCAGCCTTCAGGAAGAATAAGAAATTCTGCATCTTGACTGTTGCTCTTTCTACTGACATAGAATTGTTACTTGAGTAATAAAGTGAAGATGCTGCACTGAAGGGTCTCTCTGAGCTTGATTGTTTTCTCGCAGATGTTTTGCTACCCAAACTAGGTAACATCATCAGTGCTTTGATGATGCTACTTAGTTTGAGTAATGAAATGTCTAGAAGAAAACAACCAAATTCAGAGAGCACCAAGCACCCCTCATTTCAACCCTGAACTACAAATATTCTTTATTAGATGCCACACTGTTATGCAGATGAATGAGATAAGATAATTAGACATTTATTAAAGCATCTTGCTTCTACTAATCTACATCTTATTTTTCCACACGGGCATTCATGAGAGGGGAGGGATAGCCACATGTAGAAAGCATAAGGAGGAAACGGCAAGGACGGGCTACTCCATGTATACAAACTATCTGCAGTAATCATACATAATCAGTAAATGTATTGTTTTTATCCATAGGTATGTGTACACGTACATGTAGAAAAAATATGGCAACATTTAAAATCAGTAAATTATGACCATTTTATATGATTTCCTAATAATTTACTCACATATTTGTTTTGGGGTTTTTTTTAGAAATTTTTCAGGAAGTGCATGAGGAAGAGGTAAGCACTTTTTCCATTTTCTAGTATAAAATGACAAGTCTCTATCCCCAAAGGGCTTTTTTATTATTTCCAGGCAGCAACTGAAAGCCTTATGAAAGTTAAAATAGATTTCAAATTTTAAGTCAATATGTTCAAAACTATAGTTCATGTTGCCTAAGAGTCTCACTTTAAGGATAATGAAACTATATTTGAAAGTCATATTGGACATACAGGAGAAAATATTAATTGGTTTTATAATTATGGCACTTGGGATAGTAGAAAACTATTATAGAGAGAAGTATGGGAAAATGTTTTGATGTGCAAGTCTTAGTAAAAGTCAGCTCGTTTGTTCAAAGGTCCATTTTGTGTTTTTTACTTGCATTGTTTTAATATAAAGATTAGCCTGGCACCAATTATATGACATAGGCATTAGCTATCTGTTGAAATGCAGATGTTATACAACTTTGTTTTTAAAAGTCTCTTTGTTAGAACAAATATCAGATAGAGCTGATAGACTTTTTTTCAAGATTGATTTATTCTGACAGGCAAAACTTAAAAAAAAAATCTTAAAACGTTTTACTTGAACTTGCCAGCATACAAATAAGCCTGAAGCAGCTGTAGCTTGCACATTTCTCCTGCCAAAAGTTATAACTTGTTACTGAAATGATTAGAACATATGCTAAATATTGAATTATGGCACATTACTCTTTTTTTCAAGTTCCACACCTTCAGTAGTTTAATTTCCATCAGGAAGCTGGAAACATTTGTAGATTGTTTCAAAAGTAATTTAGCATTGTAAAAACGTATGTTCTTCAGTACAGGATTCATATTTTAGGCTTGTTATAGTATATTACTTACTAAGGTCATAATTGCAAGAGTCCATTTTCAAATTTTTTTTAGCCTTTTTCCCCTCAAAAACATGTATTTGAGATTTGACTTGAAAAATGTAATATGTTTAAACTGAATTACAAATAGTCCCCTCATTTTAAAACAAATTCAGGAAAGCAATCTCTATCTTTTGCAAGCTTTATTTATATCAGAATGGTGACCCTCTGCTCTTGTTTCTTGGTTTGATGTTTTTAATGTAGTCCTTTCTTTAACAAAATAATAATAATTTATATTATATGATTCGTAAACTATTATTATTTTCCCTTTTCTCTTTCAGCAGGAAATTGGAGGAAAGAGCTCTATCAAAGTAGTGCATTTTGGTCTGGTATAAACCAGAAATATTGATGCATAGTAAGAAAATTAAAGTCCTACAGATCATTTGCTGTGAAAAACAAGAAGCTTTCAACTAACATAAGATTCTGAAATCATGTTCAAATAATTCACTAGTATATATTAACTTCTTGCATAAATGGTTAAATCAAGGGGAATTAAATGTGCTCAGCTCTGCCTGAATCTTACGATTTTTAGGTCAGTCATATAATTCATTTACCAACAGCAAGGGGCCTTGTTTCTACTGCATTTTGTATGCTCCTAGAGCAACATATGTGATGACTAATCACCATTATTAACATTATATATTTAGAATATCATAATAATTTTTTGCCCTAGGTGGAAAGTATCTCATGAACCTATTTTATATTGAAGGATTATCAATACTTATTGATACTATAAAGAGATAATAAACTATTTTAATAATGTACTTTAAAGACTTATAAATAGATCTGATTAGATTTTACTTGTATTATTAAACATAATTCTATAACTTTCCTTATATTTTTGTATTTTTATTTGGTGGGAGTAATAGATTTTAACTAAAGCATGTCACCTAACTACAGTTATTATAAACAATGTAAAAATTATAAGGTTTACTTTGCCTCTTACCATAACTACAATATAGGAAAACAAAAATATGGAGGAACAAATGTATGCACACAAAAATAAGCTGCAACTTTATTATAAAGAGAGCAATACATATTGCTGGTGATCCAGACTGATAAGGTGGTGAGTCTACTGCTGGTTATAGTAGAATACTTACATTATCATAGTATTTTCTGAATAGTTTTAAACTGCCCAACTAAATTATTGTTCCACAAATTATTTTTAAAGGAGGCTTTCCCATTAGTACCCAAGTCCTTAAACAAAAATTACAAAAATAATTCTATGTGCAAGGGAACTATATGACCAACAAGATCAGGAAGACACATAAATTAATAAAGTCCTTATCTGTTGACAATATCAGACTACCATTATGTGTCATTGGGAGTCAACCCAGAATCATTGAGATTTGGCAACCAATCAGTTAACATGTATCAATTAACAAAACTATGAGGGGGGTTCATACTAAGCTGAAAAGTGACTTTCTTCTTAAGTAGTTGGGAATATGCTAATATCTTCCTACCATCTACACCAAACTCACTGTGGAAACCCAGAAAGTTGAGAATTGGCAAGAAGCCGGAGTAGCACAGGATACTCTCAGTGATTAAGAAATCTAAGTTTTTCAACCTTTTTTTGTTTCCCTTTACATTATATGAATTTCCAGATAAGGCTGTTCAAAAGACATTCTAACAACGTTGTAAAAATAACATCTACACACAAGATATTTCGCAACAGATCAGCTTTAATGGTTGCTCTAATGTTCTGAGAAAAATTTTCCCACCATAATAATTATTTTGTCTTTAATTCTTCAGAAATTCAGATTTTTAATCGTTTGCTTTTCAGGCACTAATAGAAAATAAACTGAGAAGGAAAACATATTACTTTTGGCATAACTACATTTCTCTTCATATATTTAAGGGTGGTTTTTTTTCTGCATCACAATATAATCTTTCTTTTGCAGTCTGAGGAGTTAGTTACCCTGATGTTAAAATCAGAATCATTGGAGGTTAAAGTGACTCCATGCAAAATAATGAGAAGGAAACGTTTTAATTTTTTTTTCTTTTAACAGAGGCTTTATCTGATCTGCCTTTTAAATATAGCCTCTTCTAGAATTTAAAAAATAAATTATATATTATATAAATTATAATTTATATAACAAGTGAATAATGATTTAATGGGAAAACACAAGAAATAAAGCATATTTAACAGTAAAGGTCAGATAAATGCAGTAACACATGGTGAAAATCCATGTATCCTCAGCAACACAGTAAAATACATAAAATTCTGAGTACCTGCAGATAATGATAGGTACATGGAAGAAATGTTAGTAAACATAATAATAATTTATTAAATGGACTAATCATATACTATGTTACATGATTTTAAATGGTGTATGCCTTTTTCTCATTTAAGAACATATGGCTCATAAAGCATGATGTGTAAATGCACTTTTTGAAAGAGATCGACTCCAACAAAAGATCCAGGAGGCAACTTTCCCTTATTCACCCCAAGGATGCTGACATATGTTACTTAGCCACAGAGCTATTTTGCTGAATTGCAGCCATATTTCTGTCAGTTCGTGTGATGGTCTGTATGGGAGATTAATCTGACACCAGACAGTGATCCTTAATCCTTCAATATATCATAATCTATTTAATTCGCATGCTAAGAGGATTCTGATTTCAAAACACACAGGAAGTGATGCTGGAAATGTACAGAAGATCAGGAGTGTCATTTCCTAAAATCTCAGTTTTCAATAAAAAACCTTTTACGGATTTCTTGTAGTTCTGTGCTTTCAAAGCATTGAATGGGGATTTAGCTGGAAATGGGACATAGGCTTTTTTCCCCCTCTTTTTATGCAGCCCTACAATTGCGGATACTCCATCCCTCTGCATATCCATGTGCTTATTGGATGTGAGACATTAAAAGAAAGTTCCCCATATTGCAGAATGTATCATCTCTTGGTTATTTTATTTAGGTGGAAATGTGTATATAGCAGACCTTTATTCAAAACTGGATAATAAACATTTAAATTGTTTGTTTATTAAATTTTTATCTGCCCATCTCCTCCACAAGGTGACTCTGGGAGGCTTACAGGTTATAAAACAAATTTAAAAAAATAGATAAAAGATTAAAAATATAAAGAGTTAAAATATTATCAAGAATCATACTAAAAATGAACTGAGTTTAATATTTTTTAAAATATATAACAATAAACTGTTCAACAAATTAAAAAAATACAGCCAATCTGCATAAAAAGAATGTAATAGCAGCACCAGGAGAAAGATATTTTAATGGATGCATGCATTATGCATAAACACACAAATGCACAAACCTTCGTTTCTCGATAAGCTATACCTCTTCCTAATAGAACTCTAACGGTTGGCCGGTTAGTTTTATCAAGATTTTAACAAATAAGCAGTATTTGGGTCTCAAACCATGTAAAATGAACGGCAGTATTTTGAATTCAGAAACAAGAAATAATTATTACAGAAGTTCTGGACATGGTTTCCTCAAAATAAGCCAGCTGGATTCCAATCACCTAATTCAGCAATAATTGAACTTTATAAACAATGCTCAGGAGAAGCCTTATAATAATCCAGTCTCACCTCAACCCAATTTACAGAAGCCTAAATTCAGTTTCTTTGTATCTGTATCTTGTTCATTGCATCCTAAGGAACATGCATTAATTTTGACCTTCAGTCATCAAAAATGTGGTGTGCTTTTTGTTTTGTTTCATAATAAAGATGTGTTCTTATAAGCCTGTACTATTTATTCACAATAGCAGCAGCATCCTAAGATCACGAAGGTTTTTTTGTTTTGCTACAAATTATTTTTAACTTTAAGATGTATTGGTCAAACTTTCAAGGTTTTTTAAAATTAGGATGTGATATAATAATATACTCCACTGGACTTTCGGTTTAAAAGGCTGCAGCAGCGGCAGGAATCTGCAATCGTGCGCGGTTCCTGCTGCGCTCGCCGCTGGCATGCCCCTGATCCAGCTGGATTTGGGGGTTAATAGTCAACCCGTAGAGGTGACTGAAGATAGAGGAGGTCCAGCAGGGGTTCGGGGGGATCGCAACCCCCTCTTCAACTGGCTGAACTCCTTTTTCCAAAAGCGGTGGAGCAGCGGTCAGCAATGGCCGCCACAAAGAAACTTTCACCCGGACAAGACTGTGCAGGAGGAAGCAGGAGGAAAGTGAAAGTGAAAGTGTTTGGCTGAACCGGGATAATAAGTAACACCTAAATACCCTGGAAATTCAACTCTTTTAAGATACATTGTTCCCTAAGAAGATTGCAAAAAGTGGCAGAAGAAAGTTTAAAGGGAAAGGGGTTTCTTTTTTTTCACTCTCCTTCCCTATGGAAATAGCAGAAGGAAATCGGAAAAACCTGTCTTGGCAACAGAAGGTAATTAAATTTGGAAAATAAAACCAAGGGGGTATTAAAGATTTCTGAATACTGGAATTAAAGATAAAAATTCTTTTTTTGCTATAAGTGGGTAGGGAGAGATAAAGAACTTATATTACGACTTTGCTGGAGGAGATTGCTTGGAGCTTTTAAGACAAGAGATAAACTGTAATAAGACTTCAAAAAAATTCATTTTGGAACTTTGCAATTGATTCTACCCCAAGAAGAGAGAGTACAAAAGAAGAAAGTGCTAAACGAAACAGTTTGTGTTGATTAGGGTTGCTTGGTGACTTTGGGACTTTTGGAATATATTTTTTGAAAGACTAATAACTTTTGGGTTGTTTAAAAAAAATTTCACAATGGCATTATCTGTGGAAGAATTGAAAATGGGATTTCAAAAGTTAAGAGAAGAGGAACAAGAAGGGAAGGGCTCTTCTGGATCTGTTTTCCACTTTTTGGAAATGGCGATTTCTACTTACCAGGAATTACAACAACAAGAAAGCTGGGATGAAGAAGAGGCCATCTTTAATGAACAAATAACTTTAGTTGAGGAAGAAAAGGGAAAGAAGGGAAAGAGAATGGAGAATTTAAGACTTAAAAAAACAACCAAAAGATGGGAAAATGTCAGAAAGCAACAGAAAAGAGGAATACAACAGAGAGGGGAGATTAAGAGGGTGGAGACTAAGAGATGGGGGAGGTTTTAAAAAGGCTAGATTGGATAAGAAAGGAAAGGAAAAAGGGAAGAGAAGTCATAAAGGCTTGAAACAAGATGTTAAAAAAACAGATCTTTTTCAGAGACAAAGGGTAAAATATAAATTAAAAAGAGATTCTGCAAGAGCACATAAGATTGTATTGTAATATTGCATTTGAAATAGAGTTAGAAAATTGGAACATTATATGATTTAATAAAATAGTAAATATGTAAAATGTTTAAGATTTAATGATAGAGTTTAATTTGCTTTGGATTATTGTTTTAACTGTATTATAAACGTATTATTTTTTTATCTTAAAATGTATGTAGAATGTACTAAGCAGAATCAGAATGGAAGTTATACATTATTTTAAGTGTTAAATCCAGGGGAAAGATAGAATAGTTTGTGTTTATAGAAAAGAGTGGAGACCAAGAGGGTGGAGATTAAGAGATGTGGGGGGGTGTAAAAAGACTAGGACCACAAAAGAGATTCTGCAAAAGTACATAAAATTGTATTTTTGTATCTTTAATTGAAATAATGTCAGAAAATTAGATCTTTATATGATTTAACAAAATACTAAAATGCATAAATGATAAAGTTTAATATTCTATGGATTATTGTTTTAACTATATTATAAATTTATTATTTTTTTATCTTAAAATGTAGTAGGTAGTTTTAGAATGTGCTAAGCAGAATCAGAATGAGAATTATATATTATTTTA